CATGCTCCCATTGGCTTCCTTTACTCCTCGAAGCATGAGGAGTACCAGATGCCTGCAGGGGCTGGCCTCAGCATTTGATTTAGGGGTCTAGATTAGACCCACTAAATCGAACACTAGAAGATCAACCTCTGGAGAGTCGATCTTCTCGCTAGTGTAGACAAGCCCTTAATTGCCTCTATATAAAATAAATCCATGGTATCCCCACATCTTGAATACCGCATATAGATTCTTTATTTTCATTAAAAAAAAGATATATTGGCATGGGAAATAATTCAGAAAAGAGCAACAAAATGATTAGGGGTTTGGAACAGCTGTCATATGAAGAGAGAGTAAAAAGACTAGGACTTTTCAACTTTAAAAGAGGAGACTAAGGGGCGATATGATAGAGGTCTATAAAACCATGACAGATGTGGAGAAAGTGAATAAAGAAAAGTTATTTACTTGTTCCCATAACATAAGAACTAGGAGTCACCAACTGAAATTAATAGGTAGCAGGTTTAAAACAAACAAAAGGAAGTATTTCTTCACTCAGCGCAGTGTCAACTTATGGAACTCCTTGCCAGAGGATGTTGTGAAGACCAGGACTTTATCAGGGTTCAAAAAGAACTAGATAAATTCATGGAGGTCAGGTTCATCAGTGCTTATTAGCCACAATGGGTAGGAATGGTATCCCTTGTCTCTATTTGTCAGAGGCTGGGAATGGGTGACAGGGGAGGGATCATTTGATGATTCCCTGTTGTGTTCATTCCCCCTGGGGCACCTGGCATTGGCCACGGTTGGAAGACAGGGAACTGGGCTAGATGGATCTTTGGTCTGTCCCAGTATGGCTATTCTTATGTGGGCTGCAAATCTGGGAAAGGTGTGCTGAGTGTCACAGTTAAATATAAGGTGTAACAGAGTGTTTTGCAATAAACAATAATTATAACCCACTTAACAGTCTCCCCCAGCTACCTTTTCCTCCCTTCTTTTCCCCCTATGACTGAAGGCCACTTCACCTTGATTGAGCTCTCAAAATATAATATTCATTAACTATTTATGCTAACAATCAGTTGCACCTTGTAGTTAGCTGTGACGTGTGGTGTATGTTTCCCAGACACAGAGAAGAGCTCTGTGCATTCCTGAAAGCTCCTCTCTCTGACCAGCAGAGCTTGATCTAATTAACGATATTCCTCACCCATCTTGTCTCTCTGGTTCTGGTTCTGGTTCAGTCTGCCATGAGGTCAGTACTCATGCTCTTGAGTCACTGCAGGCCACTTGCCAAAGGACTTGCTTCAACTGCCACTGAAATCTATAGAAAAACTCCTTTAAACATAAGTGGGAGTTGGATCAGGGATCCATACAACCACGCTGCTTACTGCTCATGGTTCCATCATCTACTAGATATCTAGGCACAGACCCTAAGCAGTATTTAGATGCCTAACTCCCATTGATTTCAATAGCAGGTGCTTAGCTGGTTCACAGTGATTTTTCTCTTACCACCTGTTCTGTACTAAAACTTGACATTGGATTTAAAAAAAACAATAATAGCCGGTATCTCCTCTACTTTCCTTCCCTGAAAATCAGTAGCACATTTATTGACTAGAGCCTCTGATACTGAAGTTTTCGGAAGTAGTCGTCTGCTGTTGGCTAAGTTTGTTGGTGGGCTTCCTATTTAAAAGAAACAAAAGGAAGTACATCTTCATGCAATGCACAGCCAACCTGTGGAACTCCTTGCCAGGGGATGACCAAGTCTATAACATGTTAAAAAAAACCTAAGTAAGTTTGTGGAAGACTGGTCTATCAATTGCTATTAGCCAAAATGGTGAGGGATGCAACTCCCATCCTCTGGGTGTCCCTAGTCTCTAAATTGCCAGAAACTGGGAAGAAAAAAGGGGATGGGTTGCTTTATGATTGCATGTTCTGTTCATTACTTCTGGGCAACCTGGCATTGGCCACGGTTAGAATACTGGATACTGGGCTAGATGAAACAGTTGTCTGACCTAGTATGGCCATTCTCATGTCCTTAACACCCAAGGATGCATGAAATTTAGGGGTGCTAATATGTGTGTGATAACATTTCGAAGGGTCCTCCTATTGGATCTCTATTGATAGCTTCTTTACAAGGTGTGTTAGCTTCTAACTGACAAACTTCTGCAGCAATTTCTTTAATAAAAGAAAGGCAGATTGTAAAACATTTCAGTATCTCAGCTATTTAACAGGACTCAGTGATTTCATCTCTCTCCTCTTTTATCAATGGAGCCCTTGCCTCATTGTTATTCCTTTTGCCTCTGCTTTCATTGCTAATGCCTTTGGCTGTATGACTTCACTGCATCTTGGCTACCCTACAGCCTGCGGCATGGACTGATTCTGTGTATTCTTGTTTGACTGCTTCCCCATCTGTCTCTTTTACAGATTGGCTTTTCACTCATGTCCCCAGTCAGTCCTTCAATAACCAAGATTGAACTGGGGTGGGAGTTTTCAAACTTTTTTTCTCATGACTCAATTGAAGAAAATTGTTGATGCCTTTGAAACCATCTTAAGTAAGTCTTTTGACTAGAGTGCAGGCTCCAGGGTGAGGCTGTAGGAACGAGGGATTGAGAGTGTGGGACGTAAAGGCTTTGCCTAGGGGTGTGAGCTCTGGGTTGGAGCCAGAGATGAGGGGCTAAGGGGTGGGGCAAAAGGGTTCAGTATGTAGGTAGGGAATCTTGGCAGGGGCATCGGGTTGACAATGCAGGTTTTTAAAGAGTGAATTTTCCACATGCCCAGAGTCCAAGGAGCGTGAGAGACACAGTATTCAATAAACCTACAGCCCAGACAGAAACTGATCAGAGACCAGCTGGAAAAAGCTGTTTGCATTAAGTTCCTGATGTTATTGTTTCATTGCACAAAACTTTTCATGAAAAGAGACAGGCTCCAGGCTGACTTTCTGGGCTTAAACAATGTACCATTAGGGTCTTTGGGCCTGATTCCTCTCACAGACTGTTTTTACACCACTCTAAACCTTAGAGCTCAGTGAAGTTGCCTCTGGTTTGCACTGCACCGCAGCTGTCTGTCCTGTTTCTATTATAGTGGCTGTGTTGTTCCCAGTGACATTTTCTGGCCTGTAAACACCCACCATGGTGTGTTTGACTGCACCCCATCTGAGGGCTCTGATTAGTGTCACTGCAGCCCTGGGGTGCTAGCAGGGGCAGCCTGAAGCCAAAAGCCACATTTGGATTGACATCTTTGCTACCTCCAAGTTCCACAAGGGCTTTAAGAAACCTAACCCCTGGCAAGTCCAATTCACTCTTGCTGCAGCAGGAGATAAGGTGATAACCAACGTCAGCATGATGGTGAACAGATGCTGTGCGTACACCGAATGCTCTCAGCTCTTCTCTGCCTCATCCAGCAAAATTGTCTTGGAGGCACAGTCTGTTTGGGTTTAATCAGAGCTTTTATTGCATCTTGGCTCTTTGTCAATCTGGCTGCACACAGTCTTCAGTCACAGCGTCCAGTCGGTATCATCCAATCCAGTCTCGACTCACAGCACTGTCCCCTCCCATCTCTATGTCTCTCCAGCAACCTTACTCTGAGAGATTGACATGTGTGTCATGACACGATATGACAGAACAAAGCTGCCTGGCCATTTCCCTAATATCGGACCGGTCTCTTCCACGGGCCCAAGCAAAGAGGTTCATCTACTATCTATTTGAATTTGTCTGTCTGTGCCTGCATCTATCTGTGTGTCTGCCTGTTTGTTCAAGTACTCCTTCTAAATGGTAAAGAGCTGGGACCACCAAACTAGGTATGTGCTGCTTCCTTTTATCATAACTTAAAAGCAAGGTAAGGGTTTGGTTGTGCCAGGAAAATGGGATGTGCCTGGAACGGGTTTGGAGGACCCCGATCTAGTCTGATCTGCAGAAAACAGGCTGTAGCATTTCATCCAGCTATTGCAGCCTGGATGTGCTTCACATTATCCTTTGTGGAATATATTGTGACATGCTAGCTTATTTACCTCCCTTTGCAACTTGCAGGTAAGTGTGTGTCCCTCCAGACATTTCACAACTAAGTCGCAGAAGACACCTGCCTTCCATACCTTCAGCCTCCCAGCAATCACAAGCTGTACCCAGGCCTGCCAAAGGGTGAGTGTAACCGCTTATCCTGGGAAAATAAACAGTGGGTGCATAGCCATATACCCCCCAGCCCTATGTGTGAGAGAGGAGCTGCATGTAAGCCTCTTGGGAAGAACTTCCTGAAGGAGAGATGCATGAAATAGTTTCTTAAGGGAACTGGAGAGAAACACCATCCCTGGAGATGTGTAAAACTAGTTTGGATCGGACTCTAGGGAACAAGCAACAGGGATTGGTCTTTCTGATTGCTGTCATCCCATGATTTAATTGTGCATTTAATCCATCATGTCTTTATTCATTATTCGGCCTTTAGGGGCATTTAATAATTGCGGATATAATGGTGCATTTGATAAAACACTGAAACATTTAATAAATCTCTAATGCTGGGTCTCTCCTCTCTTCTTGGTAAAATCCAGCTGATCTCCTGATGAGCTGCTTCTTTCCACTCCTCGCTGGCAAAATGCAGTTGGCTTATAGAAGCAATGCTCCCCTTCTCAATTACCAGTAAACTCCACAGCTGTTTCATAAATGCAGCCCTCGCCTCCCCAGTTGTTTTGCAGAGGGATGCATTTTCTCCTACAACCTAGCTGTTTTCCAGGTGCGTTGCCGCACCTCCCCGCCAGCTGCCTGCTTTGGAGATGCATTACCGCGACGTCTCCTGTCCACCGCCCCAACCTCCGCTGCTGCAGGTGCATTGCCAGACTTGCCCCGTCCCCGACACCCAGCTGCTGCAGGTGCGTTGCCGCATCTACCCCGTCTCCCACACCCACCCGCTGCACGTGCGTTGCCACACCCAGCCTGCCTCCCACACCCACCCGCTGCACGTGCATTGCCGCTTCCTCTCCTTAGCGGGCCCAGCCAGGCAGGGAGCTGCGCCCCCGCGCACAGGCAGGGAGGGGGGTGCGGGCAAGCGAGCGAAGGAGCCGCTTGGCGGCGCCCCAAGAGGGTGGGGTCGGGCAGCGGAGCCGGGCTCGCCAGAGCGATCCGCGCGCAGTGCGGGCTGCACGGAGCCAGCGCAGCAACCGGTGAGTGACCCCCCCCCCCATCGCCGCTTCCCCCGGGGGGCTGCTCCCTGGGCACGTGCTGGGCTCCCCCTTGGGCGGCCTGAGCGGGGCGCCAGGCAGCTGGGCACGGCCGGACCCGCCTTCCCCAAGCCGGCGGGGGAGACGCGGCGCGCAGAGACCAGCCGCACCTCCTGCTCCGCCGGCTGCCCTGCCAGCCTCCGCGCAGCGGCTCTGTTGGGTGCGTGCCTCGTTGCCTAGAAGCCCTCGCCTGGCGGGTGCGGGGTGTCCTAGGGTCAGACAACGGACACCTGGTCAGACCAGCCCCACGAGCCACAGCAGCGTGTGGGGTCACTGTCCGTGCCAGGAGCCTCTGAGTGTTTGGGTTGGTCTGTGGCACGTTCAGACAACGTCTGGGGGGGAGGGAGACGAGCCACTTCTAAGTCCTGCTCCATTCAGCTCCCCGTCAGGTGTGGGTCATGTTACGGTGCCTTTGGCCGGGTTTGTTTTCTTCCCTCTTTGCCCACGGGATGGGGAAGCTTTGCCTGAGGGTAGGTGGTTAGTGTTGCTGTTTGGAGGAGCATAGGGCTGGAAGGGAGCTCTTGGGTCACAAATCCGGTGCCTGCTATCACGGCTGTCATGTATTCTCATTCCAGAATTGATCACAGCCCATCTTAAAACCAGCTTGGTGGTTTGCCCTGCTGCTTTTAGTGGGAGCTTGTTGCAGGTACTCATTCCTCAGATGGTTAGAATTTCTCAATTCACCTTGTGATTTCTCATCTAAACTTACTCATGGCGATATCAATTTTTCTCTTGTGCCAACAAATTCCTTTAGCTTTAGTAACTCTTTCCACCCTGATGTTCTCCCCCCCCTCTCCCTCCCCCCCTCCGTCTGGTCAAAAGACCCATTCCATAAACAGGAACAATTTTTTACAAGAATCTGTCTTCTGGAGCATGATCAGTTTTGTGCAGGGTGTAAGGATTGTTTGTTAATAATGCTTGACTCAAGTAGCTCTTTTCAAAGTGCTTTTAAAATATTAATTAATCTGTTTATTTTTAATATCTGCATGTCAGATGTTGCTGGAATCTGTGTAGTAAGTTGGAAGCATTTTCCTGTCAGCCTTTTTTTCTTTTTTTTTTTTTTGACCTCCGTTTTGACACTCCAGACTCTCTTTTGATGTTTAACTGTCTTTCGCTTTCTCGGAAGGTTACTGAATTTCTTGACACGTTTGGGGACCTGGTCAGATTTTGGCAGGCACTCAAGTTGTTTGGATCAACATTATGTTGCTGCAAGGATGGGGTCTTTTCCCCTAGAGCTAATACACTGCTGGTCCAGAGAGGCAAGGTTGACTTGACAGGCTGTATCTTTAGGGTAGGGGCAGGGAATGTTTTTTGATTCAGTGGCTGGTGAGCCACAGAAAAAATCATTTCACACAAGTGAGAAGCAAACAAACAAGTCCTCACTGACATGGCCCCTGACTGAGGAGGAGACAGACACTCCCAACGTTCCCCTTGCACGCCAGAGACCCAGGCTAGTAGATTTTTGTGTGCTCTAGCTCTGCAGAGGAGAGGTGATGGGGAGGAGATGGCTGGAGCACCAGCGAAGCTCCCCAGTGCTAGGAGGCAGCCAGATCCAGGGGCTTAGGTTCCCCATTCCTGCCTTGGGGGAAGATTGAACTACTCAGCATCTTGTAACAGTGCTGGAAAACATGAAGCATTGTCCTTAATTTAATTACTGAAATGGGGCCTAAATATAATTGTTGCAGTTCTATCTGCAGAGCCAAGAGCCCTGCAGATCTGTGGACCATTTTGTGGACTGGATGCAGATACAAACTGTGTGCCCATGTAGGGCTAGGGCTCTATGCAGAACTCTGACTGAGAAACGGTTTTAGGGACTTTCTCTGGGGGGGGGGGGGAAATCCCCCTTAGTCCCCCCCCCCCCCAGGCATCTTAGGTGTAGAAGACCACAATGACTTCTGCAGACTCCTTCCCTGAGGTAGGGCAGGAATGAATGGGACGCAGATGGGAGCTCCTTTGAAAGTCTGACTGGCACTGCTGGACCCATCTGGTTTCCTCCTGCATGCTGGAGAGAGGTGGGGAGCTGGAGCCAAAGCACAATATCCCAGCACGGGTGTAAGCAGGGGCTGCCCTATTCCATGAACATAAGCTCAAAGCACCTGTTCAGTCCAGGTGTTCCCTGTTTGGGCCAATTATGAGGACAGGGCAGACCGAATCTGGGGGACTGTAAGGGGCCTGGTGAGAAGGCAGCCCAGAGTTAGTGATGTCTCAGGCAGACAGGAGATGAGGGCTGCTACAGAGTGAAAACAGATCCGAGGGAAGGAATACAGGAGAGGAGCAAGAGGCGTTTGCTGGCTGCTGTCCCCAAGCTAGAGAGACAGGACTGGAGAGGGCTAAAGGCAGCAGCAGAGGGAGATGTCATAGAATACTAGGACTGGAAGGGACCTCGAGAGGTCATCGACTTCAGTCCCCTGTCCTCATGGCAGGACCCAGTACTGTCTAGACCATCCCTGATAGACATTTATCTAACCTACTCTTAAATATCTCCAGAGAGATGTCCACTGCATTTGAGTCAGATAACGGTAGCTAAAAGCCTCAGGGGGCTGAAAGGAGGGGGAGTAGGTAGGGGTTGGGGTGTTACTGCTGCTGTTGCCTTGCTGGAGGGCAAGACCCCTCTATGCCCTGCATGGTGAAGAGAGGGTATAGGATCCAGGGTGTAAATATCTGGAAGTAATCGATCATGATTTTTGGTGTAAGGGGCCGTCTATCATAAGCTAGACTGGAGGACCCAAGGGGTCTGCAGAGACTCCACGTTATGGTTATTGGAGTGTGCAAGGAGTTCACAATTGATACTTGGTTGGTGACCTCTAGAACTCACAACCGGTGTGGGGTTTATGCCCTGCTTCTTAGTGTTGGTGCCCATCAGTGTGAGCCCCTCTCTGCAGCGTGACACCCCCATCTCTGAGATCCACAGCTGCATTTGAATCCCAGAGGATCCACTTCACTGGTTGAGCCCTTGATCTTTACCTTCCCAGGAACTTAGAATCATAGAATCATAGAATAATAGGACTGGAAGGGACCTCGAGAGGTCATCGAGTCCAGTCCCCCGCCCTCAAGGCAGGATCAAGCTCCGTCTACACCATCCCTGACAGATGTCTATCTAACCTGTTCTTAAATATCTCCAGAGAGGGAGATTCCACCACCTCCCTTGGCAATTTATTCCAATATTTGACCACCCTGACAGTTAGGAATTTTTTCCTAATGTCCAATCTAAACCTCCCCTGCTGCACTTTAAGCCCATTACTCCTTGTCCTGTCCTCAGAAACCAAGAGAAACAAATTTTCTCCTTCCTCCTTGTGACACCCTTTTAGATATTTGAAAACCACTATCATGTCCCCCCTTAATCTTCGTTTTTCCAAACTAAACAAGCCCAGTTCATGAAGCCTGGCTTCATAGGCTTCTCTAGACCTTTAATCATTCTTGTCGCTCTTCTCTGTACCCTTTCCAATTTCTCCACATCTTTCTTGAAATGTGGCGCCCAGAACTGGACACAGTACTCCAGCTGAGGCCTAACTAGCGCAGAGTAGAGCGGCAGAATGACTTCACGAGTTTTGCTTACAACACACCTGTTAATACAACCTAGAATCATATTTGCTTTTTTGGCAACAGCATCACACTGTTGACTCATATTCAACTTGTGGTCCACTATGACCCCTAGATCCCTTTCCGCCATGCTCCTTCCTAGACAGTCGCTTCCCATCTTGTATGTATGGAACTGATTGTTCCTTCCTAAGTGGAGCACTCTGCATTTCTCCTTATTAAACCTCATCCTGTTTACCTCCGACCATTTCTCTAACTTGCTAAGGTCATTTTGAATTATGTCCCTATCCTCCAAAGAAGTTGCAACCCCACCCAGTTTGGTATCATCTGCAAACTTAATAAGAGTACTCTCTATCCCAATATCTACATCATTGATGAAGATATTGAACAGTACGGGTCCCAAAACAGACCCTTGAGGAACTCCACTTGTTATCCCTTTCCAGCAGGATTTAGAACCGTTAACAACAACTCTCTGACTACGGTTATCCAGCCAATTATGCACCCACCTTATCGTGGCCCTATCTAAGTTATATTTGCCTAGTTTATCAATAAGAATATCATGCGAGACCGTATCAAATGCCTTACTAAAGTCTAGGTATATGACATCCACCGCTTCTCCCTTATCCACAAGGCTCGTTATCTTATCAAAGAAAGCTATCAGATTAGTTTGGCATGACTTGTTCTTCACAAACCCATGCTGGCTATTCCCTATCACTTTATTACCTTCCAAGTGTTTGCATATGATTTCCTTAATTACCTGCTCCATTATCTTCCCTGGGACAGACGTTAAACTGACCGGTCTATAATTTCCTGGGTTGTTCTTATTCCCCTTTTTATAGATGGGCACAATATTTGCCCTTTTCCAGTCTTCTGGAATCTCCCCTGTCTGCCATGATTTTTCAAAGATCATAGCTAAAGGCTCAGATACCTCCTCTATCAGCTCCTTGAGTATCCTGGGATGCATTTCATCAGGACCTGGTGACTTGCTGACATCTAACTTTCCTAAGTGATTTTTAACTTGTTCTTTGTGTATCCTATCTTCTAAACTTACCCTCTCTCTGCTTGTATTCACTACGTTAGGCACACCTCCAGACTTCTCGGTGAAGACCGAAACAAAGAAGTCATTGAGCATCTCCGCCATTTCCAAGTTCCCTGTTACTGCTTCTCCCTCCTCACTAAGCAGTGGGCCTACCCTGTCCTTGGTCTTCCTCTTGCTTTTAATGTATTTATAAAAGGTCTTCTTGTTTCCCTTTATGCCTGTAGCTAGTTTGATCTCATTTTGTGCCTTTGCCTTTCTAATCTTGCCCCTGCATTCCCGTGTTGCTTGCCTATATTCATCCTTTGTTAGTTGTCCTAGTTTCCATTTTTTATATGACTCCTTTTTTATTTTGAGATCATGCAAGATC